AGCAACCCTAATCCTATTTTTGGGGTCCCCTGCTGGCGCTCTTGGTTACCCCCCCCCCCCCCGCATGCCTCCATAGCAAGCAGCTTGATCCTGAGCTGGGCTATGTGTGTCAATAGACACACAGCGTGGCTCAGCCCCACCCTCTGCTCATGCCTCACTGGATTTGATTGACAGCATTAGGAACCAGTGTCTCCCACAGCTGCCTCCATGTGCAGTGAGGAGGGAGGTGCTGCTCTTTGGTACAGCAATGGAATGATATCTGGCTCAGGTAAAAATTGGTGGAGGGGTTGGGGTGCTGAACATAGATTTTATTTTATTTTTTTTTCTTCACCCTAATGCAGAGAATGCCTTTGCAACCTTTTTCATCTCATATAAATTTCCTTGGGGACTTTTTGCAAGCTCTGCCTCCAGGTTTGCCCTCTTCTCACCCCCATTTCCTCGATTTGCAAAATGTGGTATCGCATACAAGGGCCAATTCAGGACCCAACAATGCTTACGTGACATGGCAACTCATTCAGTATCACATGCGGTCTATAGTGGATGTTGAGGATGGGTCCTGGACAGGAGATAGATTTTCCCACCACTTTTGTATTGTGGTCCATTTAAGAGAAAATTCAATGGATATATTTAGTGCTCAGGGGCCCATCCAAGGTGAGGGGTTCCGGAGTAGTCAGGTTGGAGTGGAGGACTGCATGGCAGGTCTCCCAGGATTGGCAAGTCTTCAGTTGGGACCTGGAATTTGGAGGCTCAGAGACTTTGGGGAAAGAGCCTCCACCCTGGTTATAGGGACTTTGGTCCTGAAGGGTTAACCCACCTGCACGGGAGGCCTGAAAAGGAGAAGAAAGGAGTCCGCACTTGTCTGAGGTGGAGTAGTCCACAGCTGTCAGGGTGGGTTGTCTAGCCATGACTGCTGAGCTCCTGCACCCTGAAGCAGATGGGAACCCTAAACCTTGGTGTGGTGTACTGGCGGTGAGCCATTTTTTTTTTTTTGGTCTTGATTATACCAGCACTAAGGATCGTTTGTCATTAGGTTTACTGAAGAAATCTTTTTGCGTTTACTTGTTTTTGAGACCAATGAAGACTATCTCATTTTACAATTGGCTGGTTGGTGATCACGGGCTCCTCTGTATTACAGTTCCCACAGTGCCTGTGCTATGGTATGGCAAATGCACATCTGCCATACCATATGGAACTGCTGCACAGCAGGGTAACAATATTGCAATGTGATTTAAAATTGGACAAGTGGTGAGGAGACGTACCGCTTGCTTTAACCCCCTAAATATATCTGACAGCTGTGCTTGTGTGCAGTTGCGCGTGGCGCTATTCACGAATACTCCCTGCCACAAAGTGCCACGGCATGTACACACCACCCCTGGGTGACACCTCTTCTGCAAAAGGTGGAGCAGTTAAGGGGCTGTAACAGTTCACCCGTGGGGGTTTAACCTCCCCCAGTCGCAAGTGGGCCTTGTTTTATAGTTGTGCTTCGGAGGTTGGTAAAACCGTGGTTGAGCTGCATTTTTACTGCTCCATCCCCCCAACTGCTTCTCCTTAACCTGTCAAGGCAGTGGACAGTTGTGTATGCATGCAATGCATGCAATGAAATGATGATCCCAGTACCACCTACTGAATGCAACTCATCCAACGGACTCGTCATGGGGCAGCTGTGGTGTTATATGTTTTTAGGGGTGAAAATAGGCAGTGAGGAGGCAACACATCGTCTCTTCGCCTCTGGTCAAATGCATTTAAAATGCAATCCACTGCAGATTGCTCTTCAGAGGACAACACAAGTATAAATGAGACCATCAACTTATGAGCATGTCTTTGGGGTTGTGGGAGGAAACGGGAGTACCTGGAGGAAATGCATGCAAGGGAGAACATGCAAACTCCATGTAGATTATGTCCAACCCAGTGCTGTAAGACAGGAGTGGTTGCCACTAACCTACTCTGCTGCACAGCTAGAAATAGTTATTTAAAGTTAGATGCTCCTCCCCTTTTTTTTTTTTTTTTTTTTTTTTGTTGTAAAGGCTTTTAAAATGCTGTCTTTTTATACAGCAAGACAGTCACATTGGGTCAGCTTCAGTGCTCGTTCCCAACCCCCCCAGTGTGAACCTAGCCTTGGTGATACCTTCTGGCTGGGCTCCAACCCCAGTCAGCTGCTGGTAATTGCTGCATGTCCAATGAGCGGTGCGGAGGCTGTCAGCTTCTCATTGCTTTTATATGGGACTCCCCATCTGCAACTGTTTGCACACACCCCTCTGAGTCCCCCCAAGAATTCAGAGCCCACCCCAAATACAAGTGTGATTTGGGCCATAAACTAGATCTAAAGGCAAACCTTTTTTCATATTGGACAGAGTAAGGGAGGGTTATAACCCCTGTCAGTTGTCTTGCTGGGTTTTGTTTTATTTTTAGCCATCTGTGTCCCATTGGGGAGATTTGCCTTTACTTCCTGTCCCATAGCCAAAACGGGGAGCGAGAAGAAATTCCTCCAAAAGTAAGGGATGTGCTGGTTGTCACTAGAACTTGTTTTCCCATTGAAAGAATCCCCCTTTATTCCTATCCTATTTATTCCTAATCCCCCTTTATTCCTATTCAGAATTTGGGATTTTGGGCTTACATAGAGGAGCTTTTACAGGTTGAGAAAACCATCCATGCCTGTAAAAGCGGTGTACATACTTTAAGCCCAGTTTGCATTCCCCAAGAGGGTACTTCCTCCACTGTGGAGGGATTTCCCCTCACTTCCTGTAGTAGTTATGGAACAGGAAGTGAAGAGAAATCTCCCTAGTGAGACATAGATGGCACAAACAGTAGTTATAATCTTCCTTAATTCTATCCAAAATGGTGGCAGTAAATGTCAACTTATTTGCTAAAGGGGGCCACACCTTGACATCACCAAAGGGCCACACAAAATGTTCAATATATGAAATGCTTGAGCGGACTGTCAGACTGCAGTCCTAATAAAGGAAATGAGGGTCAGAGTGTGGACATTCTTCATTTCTGGCTAGGGGTGTGCTGAAAAAGACCCTACAAAACGGGGAACATGTTACCTGAGGCTGGTAGAGATCAGTGCTATTACCCCACTCAATGTTCCCACTACAGAGTGCTGAGGGTCGTACATCATATACCAAAGGGCCGCAGGTTGGGTACCAGGGCTGTAAGGATTAGAGGGGAATGGCTCAGTGTTAAGGCTGTTCCTTTTTTTGGAGGGAGTTACACTTCACTGAAATCCCCTCATTGGAAAGCTCCCATCAACAACTAGTATTGCCTCCTGGTTAGCATCGTCTACAACAGGGGTGTCAAACTGGCTGCTCTCCAGCTGTTGCCAAACTACAAGTCCCATCATGCCTCTGCATTTGGGAGTCATGCTTGTAACTGTCAGTCTTGCATTGCCTCATGGGACTTGTAGTTTGGCAACAGCTGGAGGGCCGCCAGTTTGACACCTGTGGTCTACAGCAAGCTGGACAAGTCAGTATTGTTATATTGCTACAGAATAGTTAATAAAATGTAGCGTTTTGTGTCATTGTATCAAATGTTGCATTTTCCACAAAAACAATATTATGTGATGTGTTTGGATGCTTCATCTGTGCAGCATAATGTTCTGGAAATTGCTTTCAGATGGGGAAGCTGAGAGGTCAGATATTAGTTTTACAAGCTGCTCTAAGGAAATGGTATTTTTTGCCTAGGCTGTCAGTGATCGGCCCATACGTGATCGGCCCATACGTGATCGGCCCATACGTGATCGGCCCATACGCTTCTTGTCCTGCATAGGAATAAACAAAAGCCAATGTTTGCAATCTTTTCGCTCAGTATGCTTTAGGCTGGGTTCACACCTATGCAGTTTGTTTTTATCCGTTTCTGCAGTGCTTTTTGTGCTGCATTTTCCATTTTTTGCACATGCGTTTTTGTTTGTGCGGGGGGGGGGTTACCCAACATATTATTTTATTTATTACAGGTACTTATATAGCGCTGTCAATTTTCGCAGCACTTTACATATATATAATGTACATTCACATCAGTCCCTAACCCTCAAGGGGTGTACAATCTAAGGTCCCTAACCCACATTCATACATACACATACTATGGACAATTTAGACAGGAGCCAATTAACCTACCAGCATGTCTTTGGAGTGTGGGAGGAAACCGGAGTACCCGGAGGGAACCCATGCAGGCACAGGGAGAACATGCAAACTCCATGCAGGTGGAGCCGTGGCTAGGATTCAAACCAGCGACCCCAGTACTGCCAGGCGGAAGTGCTAACCATTTAGCCACTTTGCCGCCCATTGCTGAATTGCTGGGCAGAATAAAAAGCGTCAGGCGCACTATATGCTTTCTGCAGCGTTTCCATTGACTTCTATAGAAAAACTCAACATTTTGAGTTTAAAAAAAGTCCCTGACCCTTTCCGAAAAACGCATCGGGTGAAAACGCGGAGATGTGAACCTTTCCCATAGGAAATCATGTTAAATGGACTGCTGTGCGGTTTCTGCAAAATGCAGCAGAAAACGCATACGTGGGACCCTAGACTAAGGGTCTTTATACATGTGCATTGCTGCAACACTTGTTATATGCTCGATGCATTGTCGTACTTCACTTTGACTAGCACCTCAATGTACTAAGGTCATGCACATGTATTGCAATGCTCTGCAACACATCATAGTGCGGTGTAGCAAACATTTTTGTTGTATGGTTTTTGTGTTATGTACTCTGCTTGGCTTTCAACATACCTTTTGGCACATCTGTGCATGGGCAGGGACAGCACAGTAATGGAGGTCCCAGTTCTCAGGTTGTCTGCACCTGAAAAGGTCCCAACAGCTGGGCAGAACCCTTCAGCGCATCTGCCGGAATTTCAATCAAAGCTGGCATTGGTGAGGGGGGGACTAGATCAGAAGTATGGGCACTTGGGTTACTCTTTGATGAAATGCATGTTAACGTGTAACCCTACACTTTAAAGCGATTGTAAAGGTTTTTTTTTTTTTTTTTTTTTTTTTAAATAACAAACCTCTGCATACTTTCCTACTGTGTGCAATGGTTTTGCACAGAGCAGCTTGGATCCTTCTCTTCTTGGGTCCCCCGCAGGTTCTCTTGGCTCCTCCTTTCTGTTGGGTGCCCCCACAGCAAGCAGCTTGCTATGGGGGCACCCACTGCTCCATGTGTCCATTCACCGGAGCCATGGTGTGGCCCCGCCTCCTCTCTCTCCCCCCTCCTTTGGCTGACTGGCTGTGATTGGCAGCAGCGGGAGCCAATGGCTCCCGCTTGCTGTCTCAGCCAATGAGAAGGCAGAGACCCGGGACAGCCGAGGCTGTTCACATCGCTAGATCGCGATGAGGCTCAGATAAGTATTGAAGGGGCTTGGGGGGTACTGCTGCACACTGAAGGTTTTTTACCTTCATGCATAAAATGAAAAGGTGAATGAACAGCCTACATTCTCCCCACCCCCTGGTCCCTGCTGCACTTACCTCTCTGGATGATGAGCTGTCAGTGCCCACACAGCTATCCAGTGTAGTAATGCACGGATTTGATCTCTGCTCTTCCCCTTTTTTCCTTAGTCTCTGGGATGAATAAGAGCACATGACCACTTTCACCAATTGCTCTAATCCATTCTGGAAGCCTTAAGGTAAGATGGGGAAGAAGCAGAGCTGTCTGAAATCCCTGGAGCACTGCATTGGCTGTGTAGGAGGTGAAAGCTAATAACCCACCCACAGTGGTACGTACAGCGGGGACTGGGATGGAGGGTGTAAGGGTGTTCAGCTTTCATTTTTTCGTGAAAAGGTCATTAAACCTTTTTTAAAAAAAATAAAAAATTGTAGGACCATTTTACATTTTCACATTTGTGTGGTGCATCAGTGCACATATGTCATGCATTAATGTGTGGTGCATTAAAGTAGAACTAAAAATAATTTTTTTTTTTCGTTTTGAGTAGAGTGGAGATGGATTGGAGCACCTGTAAGTTTGTGGGGGTTTTTTTTTTTTTGCTGTGTTTCATCAAAAGTAAAAGAGAATTTTGGGTTGCCCCCATAACAGTAATAGAGAGGAAATCTCCAATTGGATCATAAATTCTAGTGACCAGGGGCAGACTGACCATTTGGAAACTCGGGCACTGTCCGAAGGCCCGGGGTCAGTAGGGAGCCCCATGAGATGCCCCTGGTACTTTTTTTTTTTTTTTCATAGGCTTTTTTGAGTTTAGGCAAGGACACAGGGCCCCATGATCCCCTATTGCCCAGGGGAACCCCATGAGTTGTCAGTCCGCCCCTGCTTTTGACCTGGAGGGATGCCCAAGGGCTTCCTCTAATTTGCAGGGATTTCCTCTTTCTGTTTTTGGGACAGGAAGTGAATGGAAATCTCCCCAATAGGACACAGATGGCAAAAAAAAATTAACAGGAATTATAATTCTGCCCCCAATAGATCTACTTTAAGGCAGCCTGTTAAAATGCAGTGGGCTTCTGATGCACCAATGTGTCCCAAATAGACGTGTCACAAAATGTTTGCTGCTGCGCACTATGGTTCATTGCCGCATATTGTCTTACTGTGCTGGTGTGTTTATTTAAAATGAATTTGCGTTGCTGTAATTTGAGCGTTGTAACTCATAGATGTAAATTGCCCTTGAAAAGGCCTCACACATGAGCAGAGATTGGAATGTTAAAACCATCGTATGCTAGTTTAAGAATTGATGGTGCTATATAACTACCTGAACTAATAACATGAATAGGAAAATGTGCTTGCGGTTTATTTTTAGATCTACATCTTCCAGCTGTGTGCAATCACACCTATCCTAAAGAGATGTTGCAGTAGAGGAATTGCAGCATTATCTGTGAGAGATTACCTGCTAACATGAATGAGCCCTGGAGCGAGAGAGGTCTGATGGCAGCTTGTACCGTATGTGTTTTTCTATTGTAGTTGTGTGATGCCACGCTACTCGTTATTAGCCCAACCCCCTATCACGGATGAGGTTACAACGCATTACAACATCCAGCCAATTAATCTCCTGTGTCACATGCAGATCCTTAATCTTCACTAACTGAATACAGTTAAAGTAGCATATAAACTTCAGCTCCCTTCCTTTTCTTTTATTGGGATATTATTCTGAGGCCTTGTAGGGAGCTGTGTACAGTATTTTGAGTACAAGTGTCAGATCAGGAAGTTCTCAATCAGACAACTGCTCTGGTTGGTGTTTTTGTGTTGGTTGTGTGCAGCCAGTTAGACCGAGGAAAGTACCAATCTGTTTACATGCTGTAGACTGACACTTCATTCTGACATCTGTCATCGGGAGGTGGAGGATTTATAAATACTCTTCTCTTCGCAAACAATGAGGTGCATGCGTTCCTGTGCTAGATAAATCAGGCCTAGAATCAGACTGCTATAGATGACATGTTTCATCATTGTCTGACAATAGAGATGACTTGGAGTGAGCTGGTCATATCCAATCTTTAGGTAAGGGTAATTGTTCCTTTTTCCATGTGGAAGGAAAAGGCTATACAAATGTACCTCTCAAATTTTAGCATTCATGATATACAGCGGGGAAAATAAGTATTTGATCCCCTGCAGATTTTGTAAGTTTGCCCACTTACAAAGAAGTGAAGGGTCTAATCATTTTTTATCAGAGGTGTATTTTTAAATGATAAAGATAAAATATCAACCAAAATCCAGAAAAAACATGATACAAATGTTCTAAATTGAGTTGCAGTTAAGTGAGTAAAATCAAAATATTTGATCCCCTACCAACCAACAATAATTCTGGCTATGTGCTCATGTGGTACTCAGATTAGTCCTGTCAATTTAAGAAGGTGCTCTTGACGACAACTTATGTGCATAAAAGACACCTGTCCACAGAATCCTTTCTTCCATTCAAACCTCACCATCATGGGCTGTCCAAGGACATCAGGGACAAGACTGTAGACCTGCACAAGGCTGGAATGGGCTACAAGACCATCAGCAAGAAGCTTGGGGAGAAGGAGACAACTGTTGGAGCAATTATTCGCAAATGGAAGAAATACAAAATAACCATCAATCTCCCTCGGTCTGGTGCTCCATGCAAGATTTCACCTTATGGGGTAAGGATGATCAGGCAGTTAGGACCACAGTCGCCAAACAAACCATTGGTAGCACAATACACCGCCCTGGATTGAAATCCTGTAGTGCCCTCAAGGTCTCCCTCCTCAAGAAGGCACATGTATAGGCCCGTCTGAAGTTTGACAGTGAACATCTAAATGATTCATAAAAGGAATAGAAGAAAGGGCGGTGGTCAGATGAGACCAAAATTGAGCTCGTTGGCATTAACTCGACTCGCTGTGTTTGGAGGAAGAAAAATGCTGACTATGACCCTAAGAACACCATCCCTACAATCAAGCACGGAGGTGGAAACATTATGTTTTGGGGCTGTTTCTCTGCTAAAGGTACAAGCCATCTTTTCCGCATTGAGGGGCCAATGGACAGGGCCATGTTTTGTAAAATCTTGGGTGAGAACCTTCTTCCCTCAGCCACAGTATTGTAAAATCGTGGGTGAGAACCTTCTTCCCTCAGCCTCAGTATTGTAAAATCGTGGGTGAGAACCTTCTTCCCTCAGCCTCAGTATTGTAAAATCGTGGGTGAGAACCTTCTTCCCTCAGCCTCAGTATTGTAAAATCGTGGGTGAGAACCTTCTTCCCTCAGCCAGAACACTAAAGATGGGTCTTCCAGCATGACAATGACCCAACACATACCACCAAAGCAACAAAGGAGTGGCTCAGGAAGCAGCACATTAAGGTCCTAGAGTGGTCTAGTCAGTCTCCAGACCTTAATCCTATAGAAAATTTATACAGGGAGCTAAAACTTCGAGTTACTAAGCAACAGCCAAGAACCCATTTATGGTTTTAAAGATCTGTAAAGAGTGAACCAAAATCCCTCCTGAGATGTGTGCAAACCTGTTAACCAACTACAAGAAACATCTTACCTCAGTACTTGATGGAGAAACCGTTGTTGGTAAGCACAAAGTCCTGATTTGCTTGGCGATAAAATACTGATATTACTCACTGAACTGCAACTCAATTTATAACATTTGTATCATGGGTTTTGTGTTTTTTTTTTTTTTTTTTTTTTTTTTTTTTTTTTTCCTGGAATTTTGGTTGATATTCTGTCTCTATAATTTAAAATACACCTATGATAAAAAATACTGTATACCCTTCTTTTTTTGTAAGTGAACAAACTTACAAAATCCGCAGGTGATCAAATAATTTTCCCCACTGTATATAATATAAAAAAAGTACCACTTACCTGCTGTGTTCAAAAAAATATTGTGCAGAAACATTGCATTGTCCAAATCAGATGGTGAGTGGAGCAACACTGGTAGTGGCTTTTTTTTTTTTTTTTTTTCCTGGAGGGGAGCGTAATGGAGCATTCTTTTATCTTAAAGTGATGATAAATGTAATTTTAGCTTTGGTATTTTTTTTTTCTGTTTTAATGCATTAGGATCAAAAAAACAATTTTAGATTTTAGTACTTTTGCTGCCAGGTCCGTACATCATACGGACCTTACAGCAGGGGGGTTTACACACATTCCCGTTGCTGCCCGCCCGATTTTCTTCCACGCACTCCAGGTAATGGGGACTTTTTGTAAAAAAATTAACGTTGCATCAAGCTACCATTTTATTTTCAAGGTTGTCTGCATTAAAAAAAAAAAAAAAAGTTTTTGGATGATGGTTATATAATCTTCAGGCCTTAGGCTCCATGCACACTGGACGTTTTGGTAACTTTGGCTGTGTAAAGTCACGTTAAAAATGTGAGGGTTTTTTTTTTAGCCTTTTTGCATTAGTGTTTAGTGGCATTTTTCCATGTTTGTTTTTTTTTTTTTTAGCATTTTTTTTTTTTCACCAACAAAAAAATATATATTTTTGTGTTTTTGGTCCAAAAAACAACCAAAAAAAACAAACAAACACAAAAAACAAAAAACAAAAACAAAAAACAAAATAAAGAAAGTCCAAAACGCCGGTTTGTGGCCTTTTACCACATTTTACAGCTAGAAAAACTCCTCTAAAAATGCACTAGTCCTGTGTTTTTTTAAAAAAAAGTCCCTGCCAAAAAACAGTCTGTATGCATGAACACATAGGATAACATGGTGGGGAGTTTACTGGCTGTAGAAAAAAGTCATAATCCAAAAACAGCCGCTGTAAAAACATCCAGTGTGCATGAGGACTAAAACTGTTTACATGGGTATATCATTTTTATCATAGGTCCACTGACTTCACCATAAATATCGGTAACACAGTCATCAGTCCATCCCCTCATGCCAGGGTACTAGGTGTAATCCTAGACTCCCATCTGTCCTTCCAGCCCCAGATCCAATTGCTGACAAAATCATGTAGACTGCACCTCCGCAATATCTCCAAGATACGACCGTTCCTAACCTCAGAAACCACTAAGCAACTTATTCACTCCCTTGTCA